AGACGAAGCAGTAGCCATGCTTTCTGTTGATCGATGGCACGTAAGCCACGTAAATAACATCTGCCAAAACTCCTTTCAGCGGAGGCTCCTGAAACGGAGAAGTGGTGTAAACGGCCCATCGCTCCATGTGCCAGCAGCTGCGTCTGACAGGCTCACCCCATCAGTTCATCAAGCACCTTCTCCAGTCGCAGGAAAATTGCAAAGGTCCCCCCCAAGCAGAACGGGAACATTTGAAAAATTCTAGATTTCTATGAAAACTGCCCCAGATGAGACTGTTCCCAGCAGCACACTGCGCTCTGCCCTGCAGTCAGTGCCGGGCACCCAGGCACCCTCCTCGCCCACCAAAGCCCTGCTGCAAGGCAGACGCCACCAGCCCTCGCCCTCCCAAGCATCTCTATCTCAGCATCAGGATCAGAGAGAGACGAGGGAAATGAACACCCAGCCAACACGGCCCCGGCCCAGCCCACGCACCCACCCCGCCGGTGCCGCACTGGGAGAGTTACTCGTGGCCAAAACTCTCCCACGAGTGAACACGGTGCGTTAGGAGCAGGGACCACTTCCAGAGCATTCGTGCCTGTGCGCAAGTGGCTTTGGCAGTTCACTTGTCATTTGTTATTCCTTGAAATGTTATTCTTTGAAATAAGATTTCAATCTTCAGTATTAACTTTGGTTTTCTTGCATTTTTTTTTAAACAAATCTATGATTGGTAATGAAAGCAGCAGGATGGGGCTCTGGGGAGTGAATTCCTGGTACAGCATTACGCAAACGACCAGCACGGACATTCAGAGCAGCAACCCCAGCCCGATGCACGGCACAGATCGCCCAACTCGCATCAAACATCCCGAGGGAGGAGGAAGCCAAGGCCAGCCGAGCCAGACTGCAGGGAGAGGAAAGGCACGGCATCATTCGCCTCCCGCAGCCCCTGGCAAGCTGCCCTGTCACCCTCAGCAAAGCTGGGCCTCCAGAAACCCTCCCCCTTGCCCCGGAGATGCCGTGGCTCCGCCAGCCTCCTTCCAGAAAGGGGCTGCTTCTCATCGCGAGCATTTTCTCTACCCTGAACCAGGACAACTTCAGCTCTTCAAACTTAAAGAGGAAAAAACCCAAACAGGTTTTAGGTCAGCTGGATTATGTCACATTGACCCTCATCTATTTTTAAACAGCTGTTAGTATAAACTATAAAGAAGTCATGCAGAGACAGCAAAGGTTCCTTCTGAAAACACAGGGGTGAGATGCAGCGTGTGCCCCCCAGCCGCCCGGGGACTGTCACTGCGGGTGGTGGCACTGGGGACCAGCAGCCGCATCACCTCTGCAGAGCGAGGGAGGGCCCCAGCTTTTCTTCTGCAACGGCAAGCTGTGCCTCCAGGCTGCTGTGCTGCAAGGGGAAGGGGAAAAGGAGTCCCCACCAGGACCCTGGTCCCCCCCAACCGCTCCTGCCCCCCAGGACCCCCTGGCCAGGCATCTTCCCGACAGCCGTCCCTGCCCGCTGTCCCGCATCTCTCGCTCCGCTGTTGGTGTGGGTTTGCTGGCTCGGGGCAGGGGCGACCACGTCCAGCCCTCGCCAACTGCAAAAGGCTTCAACTCACAACATCCAGGACAAAGAGGGATTTGGGAGCAGGGTCTGAAGGGGAAACCCGAAACTCGGCAGTGCTGAAGAGCTGCACAAAGCTTTTGTCCGGGGTTATGGTCACCACTGGTGCTTTTGCTCCTCACATTTCAGTCGCCACTGGCTGTGATGGAGGCAGCACCCTGGAAACCTGTGGAGAGTTAAAGCAAAGGGGTGACATTCCCTTTCCTTCCCAGTTCACTGCTCTGGGGATTATCCTGGTGGGTGCTGAGCATCGGTGACATTCACCAAAGTCAGTGGGAATCAGTCAAGCTGGTCCATACTGCTCAATAGTATGTTCCTTAAATAATACTATTAATAAAAGTTTTACTAATAAAATAAAGACAGCACCAGTTTGACCTTGGGAAGAAGGTTCCCAGCTTGTCTCTGTGAATGGAGAGCAGCATTATCTGCTGCCATAAGTAGCCTAAGATGACCACAGCCCAGTAGGATGAAGTAAAGTCCACCCACCTCAGGGATGAGGGCTCCAAGCATCGTGGTCACCAGTGGGGGAAGCCCAAGAACCTGTGGAGAAAGTGTCATGGGGCAGGGACTTAATGGGCTCGCTTGGGTTGGGGGGAGTTAAAATGGGGAAGGGCAGAGGCATAGACAGCACATGGATCTGCCTTAAACTTGAGCGTAAATTTCTTCAGTGGTCTCTTGAGGAAAATCTCAAGCCCAAATCACCCACCACGTTATTGCTGATCTCCAGGTTGAAGGACACCTGCAGACTAGAGAGCTCAGCACTCAAGAAGTTTGCAGACAGGATGAGCTGGGCAGTAGCATCCCTCTTTGCTGGCAGAGAAGCAAGAGACGGCTGGTCCGTGGGAAGGTCAACCTCCTTTCCCTCCCTTTGGTGGAGAACGGTCTAAAAGGACCGTAAGAAGAGCCATGTCAGAGAGCACAGGTCCGTTTCCAGGATTTGCATTTGGACCAGGTACAAGGCACTGGATGCTTTGCTCTGCAGCCTCAGCAACGAAACGGAGCAATAAACTCCGTAGCAAATGAGGAGCCAAGGTAGCGGTTAGGTGGCACATGTCTGCATCCCTCCCAAAGCTTCTGTTGCCCAGGGCTGAGAAGGACAACGCCTCTCAGCAAAGGGATGTCAGAAACGTCACCGCTCCAAGACCCGGCACCAGGCAGCAGCACTCACCTTCAAATCCAGCTCTGTGAAAGTTTCACTCATCAGCGGGGGGGTTCAGCACAGCGTACTGGAGGGTCCCAGCGGTCCCAAGAGGGATCTCGGCTGCATGGAAGCAAAGAGGGATGCTTAACCAGAAGGTGCACCCTCTGCACCATAAGGAGAGCACTCACCAGTGCCAAACCCCTGCTTCACCGATGCCCCGTGCCATTTACGGCTTCGGCGGTCTCCCACCCCCCTGCCAGCCTCTGCGGTGCCAGTCTCAGGGCTGAGGAGATTGTCTACCCTTGGCAATAGATCTGCGCTTTCCCCTGGCCAGGGCAAGGGAAGAAGATGGATGCCAACTTACAAGTCATGGTGGTGAATTTCACATTCACAAGGTTGAGCACTGCATCAACAGCTGGACACAGCTGTAGCGTGAGAAGGAAGGTGTGAGAAAACCTTGCATGGAGACTTCTGGTGGGAGCAGAGCTTCATGGCTGCCAGACTGGCCCAGCTCCCACCCAGAAGCAGCAGAACTCTCTGCTATTAATTACCCAGACAAGGGCTTGCCTCAGTTTCCTCTGTCCCTGGTTGAATTGGGTTATTCAGGAGCAAACCGGGCTTAAGCTGAGTGAAGGACAGGACCAGACCCCCCACAGATATCTGACTAAACCAGACCGCCTTTATGACACGTGTCAAGAGGCTGCAAGTCTGCCCTTTGACAAGCCTTTAGGAACAAGCATGCTCAGCGTCGAGATCAGCTGGGTCTGAGCATCACATCCCTAACCACCGGGCTGGGACAAGGAGGCTTTGGGCAGTGACAGCACCTTTGCTGCAGGTGTTGACTGCATTAAACCAATAATTGCTCGAAATGCTGCCTTTTACCAGCCTGCAAACTCCTTTGTGGGGTAAAACTGTGAAAACCGTTGCAGCGCAGTGAGGAGGAGGAGGAGGAGGAGGAAGAGATGACCTCCAGGAAACGAGGATGGGAGCAGGACCAGACTCACCAGTCCCACCAGCACTTTCTGAAGATGCTGTCCAGAAACGTGCTCATGGGCAAGCGTGCTGGGCAGAGACAACACATCAGCCGACACAGCCGTTACGCACATAACGATAATTATTTACTAAAGATCAAAAGGCAAGAAAGTCAAACACTAAAGAAACACATCTGATATGGATTAAGCCAAAATATGCCTAATGTCTAGTAAAAGATGTTTTCCCTCTTTACAAACCTTTTCTCAAGAATGCCATCTTCTGGCTTTAAACAAAGCTGAAGGTTTCCATGCCTAAAAGAAGCTCTGATCTCCCCGGAGTACAGCACTTAGATGAGGACTGATGCCAAAGATGAACATTGCATGACATAACAGAGACAGGGGTGGCCTGAATTTGTCCATAAAACGTTTTGGTTTTCTTAGTCGAAAAAATGAACAGTGAAAAGCATTTGTGCTCTGCAGAAATCCAAACCTGGACACTGAAAGATTTAACACTGCTGTTACCTACCTCTTCGGAATTATTAATATTTGCAAATCATTGGTGTTGTGCCTTGAGACTCACCTGCTCACCAGGGAGGTTGGTTTTAATGCTAATGAGAGCGATGTGGCAATTCCTGGAGCTGAACCTGAGGATGCTCGCGGCATCCTGCCACAGCCGGCTGCTGGCCGACAGGTTTGCGGCCAGAGTAATTTCCATGTTTCGTCCTATAAAGCTGCTCAGAGCAAAGCTCGGTCACCGTGGGACAAACCCCGGAGCAAGCGAACCCAGCCCGGCCCCACCAGTGGCTCTGCCCTGTGGGCACCGGGTCCCGCTCACCTTTTCCCAGCGATGGTCATTTGGACTAAGACGGCCATGAAAAGCCCCGAGCCCGGCGAGAGCACCAGGGATATCACCGGGGGACAGAGATCTTTCACTATCAGCCTGCGGAAAAAAACAGAGGAGAAGAGTTGGGAAAAAGGAGCCCACAGAGCAGCCAGGTCGGGCTGCTTACATCTAAGTCGCCTATCGCTGATATTGCCATCACCATCTTATTCTTCCACTTCTTGTTTAACTTTCCATTTAAAACCACTTTTAAATTTAGAAACATGTTTCTTCCTAACAAAAAGATCGCACAGTTTAATTTTGAAAAAAATCTGAGGGAAAAACAACAAAAAAAACCCCTCACATTCTGGCATTCAAAACATCTCCCAAGCTCTGAATCCCCAGAAATTCTGGGGCTCCCTCAGGATGTCATGGACAAAAGCCGGGCACCCCCGGCTCTGAGAGCAAAGCCCACCCGGTGCCGCAGAGCCACTGCGGCGGGCCCCAGCCGGGCGCGCTGAAGCAGGAGCCGACGCGCTTTGTTGCTTTTAAGTTATAGTTTCTCCATGTATTTGTAGACACAACCATGCAGAAAATCACCGGCTTTAATATCACACTTGTTAGTGGGGAGTGATTCGTTTCTGCCTCCAGGCTGACACTTCCCAACCTTCTGCTTTTATGTTCTCATTCCCAGTTTCAGGCTCGTGGTGTACGGCTGCTGATCATCACTCACCCCAAGATGCCTTTGATGGGTTTGGTGTTTGGCTTTTTTTTTTGCGGCTTCCTCTGCCATTT